AAAAAAAAAAAATACAAAAGAGTATCATTTAAAAAGTAAAAATTACTTATAATTCCATCACTTAAAAATAACAATTTGCTAATTTTAGTAGAGCTGCTTGGTTCCAAACAGTTGTCTTTTTTTTTTTTTAAGAGTAAAAGGGAGATAGACATTCCTTTATGTATTACTTTGTATTCTATATCTTATACTTGACAATTTATATTATATTCCTGCCCCTATAATCTATCCCTTATGAGCAGTCAGGGGGATGGCTATAAAACAGAACTCTGGGCTCGGCGCCCATAGCTCAGTAAGTAGGGTGCCCGCCACATACACTGAGGCTGTCGGGTTGGAGCCTTACCTGAGCCTGCTAAACAATAATGACAACTACAACAACAACAAAAATAGCCAGGCATTGTGGCAGGTGCCTGTAATCCCAGCTACTTGGGAGGCTGAGGCAAGAGAATTGCTTAAGCCCAAGAGTTTGAGGTTGCTGTGGGCCATGACAACCACTGCACTCTACTAAGGGCAACATAATAAGACCCTGTCTCAAAAAGAAAAAACACAACTCTGATAATGTTATCAGACTGCCTGTTTACTCTGTACTTGATCTGCATTACGTACCCCTTTAGTCCAGTGGAAGAAAGATTATGCTTCCTTTTAAAAGTATAAAATGAAAACTATGAATTTTCACTCAAAGAATGAATGTCAGTCTCTACCCAGTAAAAATTATATCTACCTATCTGTGAGTGATTTTTAAAAAATTTTGTCCCAATGGACATGGTGGCACTACTCTGAGTAGGCCCAGCTACTTGGGAGGCTGAGGCAGGAGGATCACTTGAGCCCAGGAGTTCAAAAACTTTAGTGCATTACAATCACACCCATAAATGCTCAGTGTACTGCAGCCTGAGTAACATCACAAGACCCTGTCTCAAAAAAAAAAAAAAAGTCTTTCACTTGATGTACTTTTTTGACATGTCTTTCTTCATTCCAAAAAAAAAAAGACAATCAGTGATTATTTTTTAATATTGTCTCTTTCCCATTCACTTTCTAAAACTTTTTTTAGAAATATACTAGTTTCCTGGCTCGGCGCCTATAGCTCAACCGGCTAAGGCACCAGCCACGTACACCTAAGGTGGCAGGTTCGAATCCAGCCC